TTTTTTTGCGGAACTGGGGATTGAACTCAGGCCCTTGTGCTTGCCAGGGAAGCGCTTATTCCACTGAGCCATCTCCCCAGCCCCTTGAAAATCATTTCTAATATCATCTTTGATGTACATTGTTATTCCTAATCTAGAAAGTCAGTTAAAAAAAAAAAGACTTACAGTCTCTCTGCCCTTGATTGTATCTAACTTCACTTTCTCCAGCTTCCCCTGTAGTTATTGATTTTTAAAAAATATTTGTTGATATTATTGAATTCAAGCCAATATTCCAGACAAAGACAGATGAAAGGAGCAGCTGTGTCTCCCCAAAGAGTGTATGATCTCAAAAAAAAAAAAAAGAAAGCTACGTAAGGCTGCGTAAGCAAACCACATGAAACTTACTGTACAGGAAGAATGCTTGAGATAGAATGAAACCACACCATACAAATAAACCTACTTGAGGGCCGGCCAAACAGCTCACCGGATTAAAGCGCCTGCAAGCAGGCGCAGGGGCCGCAGGTTCAATCCCTGGGCCTGCCGTGCTGGCCCCACCCCCAGGGCACGCTGAGATGGCAATTGAGACCGGGTGTGATGGCGCCTGGTCTGTAATCCCAGCTCTTGGGAGGCTGTAAAAAGGGGCGGATCACTACGAGTCGGATCTAGTAGTAAGACCCTGAACACCCTGTAGACCCTTCCCTACAATACAAAAAATAAAAATAAATAAACTTTCTTGGCTAGTCAGTAAAGAGTTTGCAGAGTTGGAAATGCCCGTGAGCGCTAAAACACGTGGAAAATGGAGATGCTACCGAAGGCCACAAACTGCACATGCGCAGAGACTCGGTAAACGTGGTGTGTGCACACGGTTACTTATATTTGAGTATTGTTGGCATCTCAATTAGGTTTTTTATTTGGTTTTTTGTTTGTTTTGTTTTATTGCAGTACTGGGGATTGAACTGGGGATCTTGTGCTTGCCAGGCAGGCACTTATACCACTGAACTATCTCCCCAACCCTTTCAGTTGTGAGAAAAGCCTATCTAGTGAAATATGCTGAAAGATAAAACACAGAGTCAGGCCCCGGGGAGCCAGACCCATGTAAGTGGCAGCCGACTCCCCATGAGTATAGCTCCAAGAACCAGTGTCCGTTCATTCATTTTCCACCCTTGAAGTGTTTCTCTCACCAGCGGTAGCTGTGATTCCCATAGGTGCACTGGATGTCCTTCCAGGATACCTGAAAGTGCAGAGCAAATGACGTCAGCAGCCGGGCAACGCTGCTTACGCACCCAGGCACGCAAGGTGCTATAACTTACTCTCCTTGCTCCTCTGGACAGAGAATCTGGAGCACCTAGCGATAGGACCTCATGGTAATGAAGTCTTGTTAATAGCCCACAGCTGCGCTGCTTAAACTTGGCTATGCCTATCCAGAGTTGTCACTTATGCCTTTCTTCTTGCTTTACAGAAATTTCCCACGGGACGCAACGCTGCAGGGCACTGAGCCTACAGCACTGGAATCCTAGACAGTGGAGTCAGTGGCTTCTTCCAGAGCTGCAAACCCTGTCAGGATGGCATGCAGGAAAGAGCTGTGACTCCCTAAAATGTCTCCCACCAACACCCACCGAGAGAGAACAGGAACACGCTGTGTTTGACCTTGGAGACTCACACAGCCTTGGGCTTTGAATTTATTAGAGGCCAATCCAGGGCAGGAGGCACTGTGGGATACTGTTTCTCACCCAACAAACATGCGAGTCATTGAAGCAGAACCACTTTCCATCCACCGGGTTCCGGATGTAGGCGCAGTAATGACCAAAGTCAGCCATCCCCATGTGGGCAATCACAGCAAAGAGTTCATACTGCCCTTCATCCTGCAAGGAGAGGAGACATAAGGCGGCCCCTCACCCATCACCTCTCCCCTCGCGGCCCGAGTTTGGAATAAAGAAATGTTATTTCATCACACATTTATTCATCACCTACGCCAGCTATTGGTACTTCACCGATACTAGAATGAAGTCCTTGAGATTAAGACCCACAGCTAACTGAAGGACAAATATATAAACCAGGATGGTATGTTTTATACCAGATGTCCTTCCAGGAGAGGAGGGTTGTGCAGGTGAGGAAAGCTCCCCCAGAGAAGACCTGTTTGGGCCACTCTTGACCAGCAGACAAGTAGGAGGAAGGGAGGATTTTTTTTTTTTTTTTTAACACAGACCTAGGTACTGCAAAGACTCAGCAGCAAAACAGAGTAGAGAATACAGGAGTTCAGGAAGGTGCTGAGAGGTCCCTCAAGATGAAGTGACACAGGCCAAGATAGCAAGCCACGTGTGATGGTGCACACCTCCGATCTCTTTGGACACTCAGGAGGCTGAAGCAAGAGAATCTGGAGTTTAAGGCCAATCTGGGCAATACAATGAGATTGTGTATCAAAAGGTGGCTGGGGGAATAGCTCTACAGTCTAGATGCCTGCCTGGCAAGTGCAAGGACCCATTTTTGTTCGATCGCCAGTACCACCTTGCATAGTGTGACCCTGTATCAAATAAATAAATAAATATGTTTTTTATAAAAAGTATGAGGGGTGGGAGAGAGAAGCAAGAGGAGGAGAAGGAGGACAAAGGGAAAGGGAAGGGAGAGAAGGGGAAAGGAGGGGAGGGGAGAAAGGGGAGAGGAGGGAAAGACAGAATCTGAACTTACAAGATAAAGTAATTTACCCAAGGCCAAAACCTCCGAATAGGAGAAGCATGTTCCAGCCTAGCCTGACTGGTCAGAGCCCATTCAGAAGATGGGGATTAGAGGACGGATTTGTGCAAAATGAAGTAGAAAAGCTAAAGGCACTTGGTAACTAACTGGGCTGAGGACGGAAGCAGGAAGAATCATGAGGATGAATCTGTGGTTTCCGGCTTAGGTATTGGGGGTCACATCGATACCACCAAGTCAAATACAGAGCAGAGTTGTTTAGACTGAAGATCATGAATTGGAGAGTGATTTCTATGGGAAAATATTCAGCAAGGAGGTGAAAATACTGGTTTGGAGCTCAAGTAAAGACGGACTTGGAAATCTTCAGTTTGAGGCAATTATTGAAATCATGAGAATAAATGAGATGATGTTTGAAAAAAGGAGAAAAGAAAGAATGAAAACAATGAAACATCCATGAAATCATGGGCAGAAAAGGATCCAGCAATGGAGAAAGAAACCCTTGGAGAGAAATCTATGGGAGACATCTTTTTTTTTTTTTTTTTTTTTTTTTTTGGCAGAACCGGAGGTTGAGCTCAGGCCCTTGCGCTTGCCAGGGAAGCGCTTATTCCACTGAGCCATCTCCCCGGCCTGAGGAGACATCTTTAAAGAGGATCAGGAACATGGAATACCATGGAGAAATTCTGGAACAAGACCCACAAGCAGGGGCTGGTGAGATGGCTCAGTGGTCTAAAGCACCTACTTGAAACAAGCTTGGCAAAGCACGGGGACCGCGGTTCAATCCCCAGCACCACATGCCGGCCAGACCCGCCCCCTGGTGGGCTGAGCTGGCCACACACACACACAATAAATAAATGTAATAAATAAAAATAAATAAATATTTAAAAAAAAAAGACCCACAAGCATCCAGTGGATATGGCAGTGAATCCTTCTACTCCTTCAAAATCTTGGAAAAATAAAAGCAAAACGTAATTCTATAAAAAGCGAACAGCGCTGAAAGAAACTCCCAGCTGATTATGAAGGATCTCAGGAGAGAGGGGCCACCCTCAGGACACTATAAGGAAGGAAGCAGGAATGTTTTCCTCTACCTAAAAAAGCCAAATCCACAGAAGCACCATAGCGGCAGTGGTGGTCACCACGGACCAGAGCGAGGAATGAGCTGGTGAATGGAGGGAAGGAAGCTGACAAAGGGCACAAAACTGCTCTTAAACAGGCGGAGGAAGTTCTGAAGACCGACCACACAGCACAAGAACACTGCTGGCCCAGACGTGCTGTGTACAGCGGTGCCTCAGTTCACGACTTCAACTGTTTCCGTGGTTCTGGTCGCAAAGTGAATAGGGTAAGAACTGGAGCAAATTTCCGCACAAGGTCACCATTGAACCTAACCATGGAGTTTGTCTTTTTTTTTTTTTTTTTTTAAGGTTTCAATTGTACTTTATTTCTTCAATAGGCCATGCTTTAATGGATACACAGCGCTTTTACTTGGCATCAATTTTATTTCATTTAGAAATAATTTAGCTGTATCATATCAGCTGGCATGATTCCTGATCTCTCCATTGCTTGGGGGTGACTGAGCCCACAGGGAAAGGCTCCATTCTATTCCAATCTGTGTCGCTGTGTACGTCCACGCAGAACAGAATGTGGCTCCACCAACTAATACAGCATTACCATATTTGTCATGGAAATCGGGTGTCCGTTTCCGGTGGCTCTGCCTTGCTGCCATTTGTTGAATGTTTCGCACTGGAAAATGACCTGATGCATTTTTGGCCAAGGGAAACTTTGTAGAGCTGAAGTTGAAACTGTAGTTACTACAGCTTCTGGCTTGGTGCAGATTACTTCCAGATACCCTTGCAAAGTGCCCTTTTTTTTTTTTTGGATACAGGGTCTCTCCATGCAGTTCAGGCTGGCCTTGAGCTCACTTTGTATCCCAGAATGGTCTCAAGCTCATAAGGATCCTCCTGTCTCAGCCTCCCGAGTGCTGGGATTACAGGCATTGAATTTGATTCTGTTCTCATCCAATTCAATTTGCCACCAGAATCATAGAAAGAATTAAGTTCTTGAGTTGAGGCACCACTGTACTGGGAAATTGCTTTAAAAATAGACTTTCAAGGGCCGGGGAGATGGCTCGGGCTGGGGAGATGGCTCAGTGGAAAAAGCGCTTCCCTGGCAAGCGCAAGGGCCTGAGTTGAATCCCCGGTTCTGAAAAAAAAAAAAAAAAAAAAAAAAATAGACTTTCAATGTTCCTACCACCAAAAATATACATGAGTTGGTAGATATGTAAATTAGCATGGCCTAATCATTCTACCATGTATATACATATCAAAGTGTCATGTGGACACCATAAACATATATAATTTTTAACTATAGATTTTAAAATTAATTTAATCTAAGTTTTAAAATCAGAGGGCTGGGGAAATGGCTCAGTAGAATAAGCACTTGCCTGGCAAGTGCAAGGGCCTGAGTTCAATCCCTGGTTCCACCAAAAAAAGAAACCAGAAAATAAAATTGCTTTTTCCCTGTAAGTTACTTCAGGGATATAGCTCTGCACCTACCTGGTAAGCACAAGGTCCTGAGTTTATTCCCAGTACCAAGAAAACCAGTTTATCTCCGCACTGAAGTGAGGATTCTAGCTGGAGACTTAGGAAGCAGATCAATGGGGGCAGGAGGGGAGGGCAACGCAAAGGCCTGAAGTCGCCCCAAATGCAGGCACAGTCTCCCCCGTTTTCAGGTGAGGACTTTATGCTGGACTTTCAAACAAGTGTTGGACAATTTCTGAATCTAATGATCGATTTACAAGAAATAAAAATAAATAAAGAAATAAAGAGGTTGGAAAGATATGTTAAATGATACCAACCAGTCAATTATGGGATATAAAAAATTTCAACTAAATAAACCGCAAGAAAAAGAAGCGGGGCTGGGCTGTGGCTCAGGGGCAGAGCTCCTGCCCTGCATGCACAAGGCCCTGGGTTCGACCCCAGCACCACAAAAAAATAAATAAATAAATAAATAAATAAAAGAGGGGAACTCATAATATAAACTGGAACTGCTGGGGAGATGGCTCAGTGGAATAAGTGCTTCCCTGGCAAGCACAAGGACTTGAGTTCAATACCTGGTTCTGGGGGGAGGGGGAGACTTGAAGGCAGGCAGGCAAATGAAAATGTAGACCCTTCTTTGGATCCAGAGTCAAACAATCCACACCAATAGACCTGTCAGGGAAATCTTATCATTGGCTAGATATTTGAAAATATGAAAGAACTGTGAGATGGAGTTGATTACTTTTTTTTTTTTTTTGGCGGAACCAGGGATTGAACTCAGGCCCTTGCACTTGCCAGGCAAGCACTTATTCTACCAAGCTATCTCCCCGGCCCTTACATTTTTTTAAAAATGTTTATTTTTTGGTGAGACATAGTGAATGTTTCTATGTATGATGTTTGAGATTTGCTTCAAAATAATCTTGCAGACAGTCAAATAAAAGGGTAGGATAGAGATGGAGGTAGCAAAGACTGCCCAGGAGTTTCTAGAACTCTCCGAGCTGCTTGCTGGACACATGGGAATTTGTTGTATAAACTGTCAGTATTTTGGTTTATATTTGAAATTTTCCATAATGAGATCTTTCTGAAGTGAAGAGAAAATTTAAATATACTTTATTGGGTAGATTGGGCAGGTAGATACAGAAGACTAAGAGAGAAAAGGGGTATCTTACGAAAGGTAGATATCCTAAATAGGTCAAAAGAAAAACTTGTGTCATAACAGGACCCATATATCATATTATCAGACCTTAATGTTTTAAATATCATTGGGCATAAGTAGACAGATGGATATAACAACCGAAATTATTATTATTATTATTTTTTTTTTTTGGTGGTACCAGGGATTGAACTCAGGACCTTGCACTTACCAGGTAAGCACTTATTCCACTGAGCTATCTCCCCAGTCCAACAACCAGAACTCTAAAAACAGATTCAGGCCAGGGATATGGCTCAGTGGTGCAACGCCTGCCTGACAACCTCAAGGTCCTGAGTTTGATTCTTGATACCCCCCAAAATAAATGAATAAATAAAAATAAAAATAGATTCAGTCTGGTATAGAGGTGCACACCTGAAATCCCAGCACTTGGGAGGCTGTGACAGGAGGATCGCTTCAAGTTTTAGGCTAGCTTGGGCTACAAAGAGAGTTCAAGGCCAACCTAAACTTCATAGCAAAACCCTGTCTGGAAAAAAAAAAAAGGCTAGGAATGTAGCTCAGTTGCACAGCGCCTGCCTGGCTAGCGTGAGGTCCTGAGTTCAACTGTCAGTACTAAAAAAAATTAAAATGTAAAAAAAGACCAAAAAAATTAGTTTCACACATATAAGAATACAGAAAATTTTCTATGAAATGCAGCATTTCATACTTTTTTATGTATTTAGTACAGGGTCTATAGGGTCTCACTACACAGATTGGACTCATAGTGATACTCCTGTTTTCAGCCTCACAAACACTGGGATTAAAGGCGCACACCATCACGCCCAGTCTCATTCACCAGCTCAGCGTGCCCCGGGGGCGGGGCCAGCATGGCACACCAGGAATCAAACCCCAGCCCCTGCATCTGCCTAAGCAGGCACTTTAATCTGCTGAGCTGTCTGTCCGGCCCAGCATTTCATACTTCTGGAGAAGAGATATTTATGTCATTTTCTTTTTCTCAGAACCTTTCAGGAAGTGATTATCTTAGGACAATTGATCTAAATTTTCATTTGATTAAGTCTGTCCCAGTTGTTGGGTTGGACAAAAATAAAATAAAATAGGACTGAAGAGATGGCTTAGTGGAATAAGCACTTCCCTGGCAAGCGCAAGGGCCTGAATTTAATCCCTGGTTCTGCCAAAAAAATAAACAAATAAAAAATAAGTAAATAAGATAATTTTGCTCAACCAACTGTCTACTTTCTTCTTATCCTCAAAATGAGCTATGGTTGTTATAATGAGAAAGTTTGGCTGGTACTATTCTTTTTTTCTTTTTCTTTTGTTGGTACCCAGAATCAAACTCAGGACCTTGTGCTTGCCAGGCAGGCACTTGAGCCACTGAGCTAAATCCCTGGCCCCAGTTGACACTATTCTTAGAACCCAAAATGTCATAGTTACTTATATATTTATAAATATTTTATGTGCTCTTTCAGAAGAAAAGTCCTGAATTTAAGTTCCTTACCTTAGATTCCACGGCCTAATAGTTTATTTACAAACTCAACCATTAAAATTAGGAAAGCTGGGGCTGGGGAGATAGCTCAGTGGAATAAGTGCTTGCCTGACAGCGCAATGTCCTGAGTTTGATCCCTAGTACCACAAAATAAAAAAAGAATTAGGAAAGCGTTTGCACTTTAAAAGAAGAAAAAAAAAAAAAATGGGGGCCTGCCCCTTAGCTCAGTTCTTTAAGTGGCTGCTTCAACAAAGCAGGTCAGGCTCAGGTTGCTGTGGTTCGATCCCCACAATTCAAGCCAGCCAGACCTGCCCTGAAGGCATTCGGAGAAAAAAAAAAAATCCTTATAAAAGAGGAAAAAAGCCACCATAACCAGCAATGCACAGAGATGACAGTATGGCGATGACAAGCGGCCACCAATAGTCAAAACAGACAGGTTTCCGCTCTTAAAATACTGCTTAAAGAACAAGCGTGTCTTGGACATATGTGTATTTCCGTGAATCACAGCAAGGTGTGGCTGGTTTCCCTCCTTTGCATGTCCCGAATGTGCAGAGGACAGGAGGTCCTGGATGAGAGGGGACACAGAGGACACCAGCCTAACTGACCACACCGCTCCTCTTCTGTGGCCAGCGTTTGTCAGGCATCAGGCCATGTAACTGCCTCATGGTCTGGAGCCTAGTACCACAGTGTGGCCCGGGTAAGAACCTGGAGCTAAAGAACTTACAGCCCTGGAAGCTGAAGAGCAGGAGGCAGTGGCGTCTACAGGATGTGGTGCGGAGTAAGACTGACAAGAACACCGCGTCTCACCTGTTCCTCCGTTTCACTGATGTGCTGCTCACTGGGAAGAACCTGACTGAAGTCCAAGCTCTCAGGGAAGTATAGCGAATGGCAGACCTTTTCTGTCCTTGAATTCTTGATGGAGAACCGCATGAGGTGGATGGTCAAAGTTTGGGGCAAATGGGTGAGCTTTGAGGCCTTAAAAAAAAACAAAATCACTATGGAGATCAGGTCCTATGACACTTGCAAATGAGCCGATTCGAAGAAGTGCAGGGCTGGTGGTACGTTCTTCTCACCAGCACAAGAAGATGGAATACACAGTGAAAGGCTCCCATTCACCACCACATCTGTTGAGCTCCTCTGAAACTTGTGACACCGGACTATCTCACCATGGCATCCCCCCCCCCCGCACAGGTGGCCCCCAGGTTCTGCCCACGTGCCCAGCACCAGGGACACTATGGAGTCTGTACTAGGGAGCCGGTCTAACCATGAGGGCAATGTCCGACCCACTGCTCCCAAGAGCCTCCGTCCCTCTCCATGATGGCATCTGAGGAACTGCATGCACGGCTCTGGAACTCAGAAGCCCCAGGGTCCCGGATATTAGCCTGACCCCGATTCCCTCCCTCAGCTATCATGAGGGGCCCTCAGCGGTCTGGGAAGACTCTATGAGGAATCCTTTAGGGGCAACTACAGGCTAGCGAAAGAGTCACATTTCGGAGTACCTGTTTCCTACATGTTTTCTTCCCACAGTTCTGACAGAAGAATTTGCTTTTGTTGCATAGTTCCCTGGACTGGAAGAAACAGCGCAGGGCATCCTCCTATCCCACCAGAAAAAAGAAAAAAAAAGGCAATGCTGGTGTTTCCCATGAAGCTGTAACTCCTCACCCCCTACATCCTGCTTCAAATTTTCATCAAATGTCCCGAATGTCTGGCCTGGAGTGGCCCATTTAGCAAGAGCTCATGAAGAACCCACAGACTGGAGAAACAAAGTGAGAGCTGAGGAGACGCTTGCTAAGGAGACAGCGGGGCCAGGCGGAAGTAGGGGGGTGTCTGGCTTGTGCCTAGAAGTCCCCACAAAGCCTCAAGCAGTCACAGGCGGGCTTTTTCAGAGGTGGCTGGATCTGGAGTGTGATGCCAGGACCGGCTCACGGTGCAGTGCTAGGCTCACAGGCTCTGGGATTAAAGGTGTGAGTGCTGCCTGCCCTGGGCAGCCGGGATAAGGTACTAGGGATAGAAAGAGCTGTGTCGCCCCTTGTTGCCTTGCTCCCTTCTGCCCACCATGAACCGGTTCTGCTCTGTGACGCCACCCTGCCTGGGAGCCAGCTGATCCACCGACTGAAACCTCTACAGACAGCTAAGTAAACCTTTCCTCCCTTCTTTTGTCTCAGCAATGAGAGAAAAGTAACGAAGAGAAAAGGAGAAATGGACCAGGGCCGTGCAACACAGGTTTATTTTTTAAAAGCCACGAAGTTTTCAAGCTGGAGTGGAGAGGCTGGCGAGGTCGCACAGGTTCACCGAGTTTCTCACCAGTGTTCTAAGGGGTTTCGAGTCCACATCAAAAAGAGATAGAGGAAGGGTCAGCAAGCTACTGTCTGTGCTGCTTTCCATGGCGCAGTCTAGACACACCAAGGTCTCTTTCACCCGGATAGTGTACAAGGCCGTCAGCCTCTCTGCCTGCAAGAGGGGGTAAGGGAGAGGTCAGGTAAGCAAAAAGCTCCAGGCCAGGCCAATTTCCAGAAGCTGGCTTCACTAGACAGAAGCTCTAGAAATAACAACCCCCCGCGTAAAGGCGCAGAAGGGTAACAGCAATTACGCTGTTCGGCAGCGATAAGCGTTCTGGGTGGATTAAGTCCTTTACACCTCTCCGCGCAACGCACAGACGACCAGCTGAATGATGTCCATGGGCAGCATCCTACACTTCTGAGTTTTCTTACCAACTCTGTGTCCATGATTTGGTCCTTGATCAGGTTCCACACTATAAGGTACAGCTGAGCAGCATCGTGCTGGACAAACACTGGCCAAAGAGAAGCAACAGCAGTCAGGAGGCGCGCCCGCCACTTCTCGCGCCCTCGAGCTTGGGCTGCCGTGACCCTGTTTTGACAGTCCCAGCCCTCCACCGGGGAAGTGTTCACTACACCTTAGGTGCCCAATAAATGAAAAGTTTTGGTACAGATTTTTGAGAGCCTCTCTAAAAACTTCAGCCACAGTCCCGGCACAGGACACACGTCTCCCATCCTTTCGTTCTCCATCCGGCTCTCCTGGCCGCTACAAGGGAGCCCACCTGGACAGCAGCAGGTCATCGCTCATGACTGGCCTTCCACATACTTTTTACTCACTGCATTAAAACCTGAGCAGTTTCCCAGTTCTGTACCTGGCCTAGGTTTTCCCAGAGGCACCGAGAGGACAAGGACAGAGCGACCGTCTTAGTCTCAGGGAAGCAGGCTTAGAGGGAGCTAGAACGCGGCTGTGAGTTCCACACCTGCCACATAAGTAAATACAAGGCTGAAACTGTTGTGAATTGCTGTGTTGTTACAGGGAGGACTAAGACTTTGAAACACATGAAAAGCACACTGGAAACTGTTTCCAAAAACAGATAGGTGCCAAAATGCAAACACTGGAAGAAAAGATGCTCACTGAAAATGTGCTAAATCTGCCATCTCAACTCCGTTTTCTTACTAATTTCACAACTTGTACCTAACATCTTTTAGCTTACTCTGTTTCAACTTTGGTTTTGGCCTCATTGCCTCTAAACAATAACCCCATGGAGGCAGATCCTGTCCCGCCTTATTTCCCTTGTCCAGCAACACCACAGTGCCTAGCACGCAACAGATGACCACTGCCCACCCGCTGAGTAGATTCATCAATCTCTTTTCCAACACGGTGAACCTGAAGCTCAAAGGCAAATGGTCTAATGGTAGCACTCCACTGATGCTCAGCGCACCTGGGGCACAGCTCAGTGGCTTGGCACTTGCCCGGCAAGTGCGAGGTCCTGAGTTCAATTCCTGGTACCAACTGAAATTGATGCTCTCTGGGACAGAAGAGCTCCTGCCACAGAGCTGACACTTGGAAAGGAAGCCAGGTCGTGTTGCCATATGGAGACAGGGTGGCCTGGCCTGGCCTGGCCTGCCAGAACCAAGAACCCTATTCACTTAGAAATACAGGATCCCCTGTTTACCCCACAGTGCACCCAACACCAGCTATGGTTAAGGCATTGTACATGCCGAAGAAAGGTCCTGTCCCCAGTAAGCCTGCACAGTATTCTAATGCAGAACAGCATCTAAACAATCATGACTTAAAGAAAGGAAAATTCCCTAAAACCCCCAAATTGCTACAGAGAGCTAAAGGAGCATGAAAATACAGCTGCAACAGGAGACGAGACAGTCTTCATAAAACTGCTCCTCAAAGCAATGAAAATGTGGGCAATAAATAAAGCCCCGCATATGACAGACTCAGAACTGACATCCTATTCTACGAGGAAAAAAATGGAGCTTTTCCTTTCAGATCTAGAGCAAGACAAGAATATGTACCTTCTGGTAGAGACAAGCTGCCCACGAGGTACACAAGTACCAACAAAGGGACAGAAGCAGCATGGAAAAAAGGGAATAAAGGTGCTTCCAAAGAAACACAGTAATTCTGTAGCCATGACGCCAAAGAAAGGGAAACTGGCAAACTGCTTTAAAAGAATTCAAAAGAATGATATCACTTCATGAGATGTGAGATAATAGAGTCAGATAATTCAATGAAAATAGAAAGACATTCATGATATGAACGAGAGATTCAGCAAAGAGACAGAGATAATTTTTGGAAAGTACTACGAAATAATAATAACCAAAATAGCATGGTACTGGCATTAAAAACAGACAGGAGGGTGAAGAGATGCCCACATTCCCATCATTATTGCAACATTCTTTACAACAGCCAAAAAATGTAAACAACCCATGTGTCATAAAAGGATGAACTTTTAAAATGTGGCGTGCATATACAACAGAAAATTATCCAGCAATTAAAAAGATGAAATATTGTCATATGCAGCAACATGGATGGAACTGGAGAATATTAAATGAAGGAAATCAGGTATATGAGGACGAATACCACAAGTTATGACTTATATGAAGAGACTGCATGGCTGATTTCATATTAGTAGAGAGTACAGCAGTGGTCACTAGAGAACAGGAAGGGAAGAACGAAGGGGGACCGAGGGAGGTTGGATACAGGGACCAAAATTCAATCAGAAGGAAAAAGGTCTAACATTCTACAGTAAAGGACTACAGTTCATACCACCCATTATACATTTTACATAATAAACATAAATTAGTTCAAGCCAGGTGTGGTGGTGCACACCCCTAACCCCAGCACTCAGGAGGTTGAGGCAGGAAGATTGCCTCAAGTTCGAGGCCAACCTGGGTCACAAAGTGAGTGTAAGTCCAGGCTAAACTGCATAGTAAAACCCTGTCTCAAAAAGAAAGGTGGGGGGCTGGCGAGATGGCCACGCTCACCCTTCTAGCCCGGGCTCCCACCCCGTAGCTCAGCAGGCAGCAGCCAGGGGCCCAGGCCCGTGCTCACGTGGCACGTTGTTCTTCTGGAGGCAGCAGGCCAGGTCTGTGGGCCGCACTGCCTTCTGCCGGCTGTCCTGCATCTTCTCCAGCAGCAGCAGTAGCTGGTAGGGAACACTTCTCCTCTGCTCTTCTGAGCCCTTTGGCACTGTTATCCTGCCAAGGAAGAACAGCAGGGACATCCTTACCAGAGACATGCACTGCAATCACCTGGACAACCTTAAAAATCCCCACATGCTGGCCACTTGGGGAGGGAATCTGGATTCTGGAGGTGGAGCCAGGTCACTTAGGTCCCCCAGCTGAGAACTGCTGAGTCCACGAGTCAGCTGGGCAAAGTCCTCTTGAGAGCGGGAACGACACAAGTGCTACCTTGTGTCCACGCGCGCGCGCGCACACACACACACACACAGTCACTCTACAACCAGGGCTGATGCACAAGGCTCTGGTCTGAGCATGGGTCGAGTCACTAGAGGTCTCACGGTAAGCTCTTCGAACCAGAGCAGCAATCAGTGAGTTACAGTGTCAGGAGGAAGATGACAATTGTTTTAGCAATGATTCATTTAATTGTGGGCATCTCTCAATTGCCCTTGCCAGTGATGGGGAAAAGGAGAAAGCGCAGGTCAAGGAAAGAATGAGAAAGTGTGTGTGCATGTGAGTATGGCCACACATGCATGTGCGTGCGCGCGCGCACACACACACACACACACACACACATGCTTTCAAGCCCTTGCTTTTTTTCCCTGCCATTCCACTACTCCCAACTCCCTTTTAACAAGACCAGTGGCTGTCAGTCTCGCCCAAGCTTTAAAATCACTCAGGGAAGGGAGCCTTTTAAAAAGTATAGAAGCCTCAGACAGCGAGATAGCTCAGCAGACTAAGCACTTCCTTTGGCAAGTGCAGGGACCAGGGTTCAATCCCTCGTCCTGCATGCTGCATCGGCCCCCCCAGCCCCAGGTACTCTGAACTAGTGACTGAGACAGGACGTGGTGGAGCACACCTGTAATCCCAGCACTGGGGAGGCTGAAAACAGGAGGATCACTACGAGTCCAAGCTGCAGAGTGAGACCCTGGACCAAACATTAAAAAAAAGAAAAAGTATGGAAGCCTGACTGCCCACAAGACCAACTGAAAGCAAACAACTAGTGATTATTTTAAAACTTGTGTGAATCTAATGTATAGTCCAGAATGTGAAGAAAAGGACCTTTCTCTGGCAACTTATGAAAGAAGACCTCTAAAGTCATAGTGAAAACCAGAATATTTAAAAAACATAAAATAGTGTACATGTTTATCAGACTGAATAACAGGCTTACCTCTTCAATATCTTGGTGAAATCCGTGTTCATTATGAATACCTGAATCAAGGAGTTAAGGCAACAGGTCTGCCCAATGTTGTGTAAACCAACCAAGCCTATAAAGGGAGAGAGAAATACTGAGGGCAGGCTGGACATGGTGGCACACACTTGTAATCCCTGCACTTGGGAGGCAGAGGTGGGAGGATTTCCCAGAGTGCAAGGCCAGCCTGGGCTACAAAGTGAATTCATGCCCCACTGAAGCTGCATAGTGAAACCCTGGCTCAAAAAGAAAACCCCACAAAAACCTCAGGGCAAGGGCTAGCTAAAGAGCTCAACAAAAATCAGATATTTTTCTGGAATCTACTAAGGACATGAAATCCTGTGAAGAGACCTTGCAAACAAATAGGGGAGGAAATACCAAGCAAAAGCCTTGTCAAAAGCAAAGAAGACAAGCTTTATAGTGCACTAGGAAAAAGAGGTGTCACAGAGGTGTGTCGTTCACTGAGCGCTGCGCAGCACAAGCAGTTGTGGGAAGAGCAGAAAAGAAACATTTGTGCTAGCATAGCTGACAGAATCCGGGCCGCTTCCACTCAGACCTCTCTGCAGCTGAGTCAGCCTGGGGATCTGCGGGTTCAGAGTGCGCTGGTCTATGCTAAACTCGCAGAGAGGGGAGGAAACCCGAAGACAGCTTTGCAGGAGATCACTGAATCTCAATTCACAAGAGGCTAGAAAACCAAAAAGAAACCTTTTCCTGGCCTGCTGGCAGGCAGCCTCCCTGTTCCCAGCCTAAGCATCTTCAGCTGACTGCACATACGTGAGCCCCTCACAAGGAAGGGCCCCTGCTGATCTCAGTTCCCAGGGAGAGGGCTTTGGGAAATGGTACCTGAAATGTAAAAGCAAGGGTAACAGGTGCCTGAAGATGGCTGCTCCCGAATTGCCAGGAGCACATCGCTTCTGGGCCGGCCAGATAGCTCAGCGGACTAAAGCGCCTGTTTAGGCAGACGCAGGGACCAGGGTTCGATCCCTGTCATGCTATGCTGACCCCGGCCCCTGTGCACGATGAGATGGGGATTGAGACTGGGCATGGTGACACACGCCTGTAATCTCAGCACTTGGGAGGCTGAAAACAGAAGGATCACTATGAGTCCGATCTACGTAGTGAAACCCTGTAGACCCTGTACTAAGTACATTTAAAAAAATCGCTTCTGGATGGACTTGTACGGAGGCAACAGGAAAAATGCAAATGAACTGTCGGCGCTGCCACATGCCAAGCACTGGTTTAAGCAGCTTCCACGGTTTAGCTCATTTGTCTTCCCAACAACCCTATTTGGTCAGCCCTGTTATTATTGCCATTTTACAGATGCAGAAGTGGAGGAACGGGCCACCTGGAGATGAGCCATAAAGCTGTGCTTCTCCGGAGGATAATGAGCGAGCAAAGCTCTGCTGTAAGATGGGAAGGAGAAGGAGAGGCTCTACTGACCGCTAGGGTGGTCCCCGGGGCTGAATTCTCTGGGCTGTTCTCTCTTCCTCTTCATGTCCGGCTCCTCTCCCTTCTTCTCACAGAATTCTCCTGAACTCCACTGATCCTCAGCCACGGTTGACCGGCAGGTGTCCCCCAGGAACCCGAGCGTCATGCCCATCCGCAATCGCTCCAAAACTCCTTGCCCAGCGCTGCCTGGCTGTGATTAGGATGCCACAAACTTCACTTCTACGAGAAGCTCACAGGTCCGGGCACAACAGAACCCCTTGAAGACACACAGCAGGTAGATAAGCATAGGAAGAGGCAAAGTGTATTTGTGCTGGCAGCTCTGAGTTCAAAGAGCCAAGGTCTTGGGGTGGTGACTGCTCTGGGAGACTGGCTCAAAATGCCTTAGGGCTGAAATTAGACAGGATTTTTTTTTTTTTTGGTTCTGGGGATTGAACTCAGGACCTTGCACTTGCCAGGCAAGCACTTATTCTACTGAGCCATTCCCCAGCCCTTAGGGCTGAAATTAGATAGGCACCTCCGGGCCTGGAGCCCCCAACTTGCCATATGCTTTTCCTCAGAGTAGCCCGATGCATGTGAACTCTAAGCCACCCTTCTCCCTGCAGATTCTCTGCTGGTAAATGACCCAAAAGCTGAGTGGCTGCCTTCACTGCCATCCACACTCAGCAAGGACTGTCACCAAGGGCCATCAATCCCACTGGTTAAAGGCAGATCCTAAGTAAATTTTTGGCTCCCCACAGCCATAACTTCCTGATTTATACCTACAGACATCCCAGCCCCAGGAAAGCATGCCTGCTTCTGGGGAGCCTGGTCTCTGTCCTCCAGGGAGCCTGGGTGTTTGCCATCTCACCACACACTTAGTACAGAGGCTGGCCAAGCAGCTGGCACCCCGAGCCTCCTGGGAGGAACATCTGTCCCTGCTGAGGACCTGTCCCTCTCCACTCACACCAAGCCCTGGTCTCCAGCTACTGTCAGGACCCAACCGAGCCCCCTCACATACACCGGAGGTCCGTGGACGTAACAGAATCACAGCTACAGAGGAGGGGGACATGGCGACTCAGTGCTTGAATTTTCCTGGTTCTTCACTCTCGCCTGACCACCACGTACTGTCGCCACCTGTAAATCCTCCCCCGACACAGTGTGGAAGCCCAGGAGGGGGTCTCCCATGGGTGAGGCAGTCTGGCACTGAGTTTGCTAAAGAGGAAAGAGCACACCCTGAGATAAGGGTGTCCTGGGCAGAGCCCTGCTGGGAAAGAGGATGTGGGCAAGAACATGCAAAGCACTTAGGCGGCTCGCACACGAAAAGCTGAACTAAAAATGATGACAGCATAAATGTTCCAGAATTTTAATTTTATAAAAAATAAACAGGGAGGGCTGGCCAGATAGCTCAGCAGACTAAAACACCTGCTTAGGCAGGCACAGGGACCAGGCTCAATCCCTGTCCTGTGGTGCCAGCCCTGCCCCCAGGGCTCACTGAGAAGGGATTGAGATTGGGCGTGGTGGCGTGCACCTGTAATCCCAGCACTTGGGAGGCTGAAAACAGAAGAATTGCTACAAGTCCGATCTACATAGTGAGACCCTGTAGACCCTGTAACAAATATAATAATAATAACAATAAATAAACGGGGGCCAGGGACATAGCTCAGCAGCACAGCACCTACATGGCAAGTGTGAGGTCATGAGTTCAATTCCTGGTACCAAAAAATAAAAAATAAACTGGTTAACAAATAGTCCTGGAAACTCAAATCAAGACCACAATGAGATACCATTCGACACTATTCAACTGAGAATAATTAGGAATTCTGATGGAATCTGATCATTACACATTATAGTAATGTACTCACTATTATGCTCTATAAATATGCATAATTTTTACATGTCAATTAAAATGCTCTGCATATAAAAGAATTCTGACGGAATCAAGGATTAGAGGTATGTGGTAGATAGGATTTCTATATTCTACGAGGGAAGAGGTATAATATCTAATCACTTGGGGAAACAACTCGGCATCACTGGTTTTTTTTGTTTTGTTTTTGTTTTTTGGTTTTTTTTTTTGGCATCATTGTTTACACAACTGCTTAAACGCAACTCTTAAATCCCAAGAGAAAGTGCTTTGCCCCAAGACAAATTTTCACATGTATCCTTGGAGACATAACAATGTCCAAAGCATCCTTGTTTTCTTAATAAGAAAACTGATATTACTCACTCATTAATCAATATGAACCGTAGCACACGTCCCAACCTGCCAAATACTGGAAACACAACATTGACTCCGAAAAAGCAATTCTCACAATAAAAAGACATAATATGAATTCAGATTCAAAGTCAATGGGATACAGTCCTGGTCTGTAGCAATAAATGTACGTGTGTGATAGGGATACAAGTGACTAAGTATGTCAGGAAAAGCCCAAAGTTCGGGCCATCGCCTGGGGCGGGAGGCAGGGCAACGGCAGAGTCTCAGCGCCTGCCACGGTTCTTGTTGGGTAACGAAAGGGTTGTACACGGATTTTATTATAATTAGTTAACGAACTGGAACTTGGAGTGAAGGTTAATGGTCTTAGGAAAACAGACGAGGTTCGGCGCGGGCCTGACGAGCCCAGGCTTTTCTCCGCGCAGAGCCCGCGGCCACTCATCAGGGCCGGTCGCGCCCACACAGTGGCCGGCAAATCAGAGTCCCACGCCGCTTCCCCACTGACTGTGACCACTGCCCTCGGACGAAAGCAGAAAGCAGACCAATCCAGGTTGGGTATGTACACACCGCCCCCTAGCGAAATAGACCAGGAATATCTAGGCAGACGAATGGAAGAAACACTGCCTAGTAAAACTAAACTTAGCATATATTAAACAATAAATAATAAGATAGAATGAGAAACCACGGTCCCCGGGATAGCTCAGTGGCTCTCACACGTGGCCAGGGACTGTGTATTCCTGCCTGAAGACATAAATGTGTGGCCTGAGTACTGGTATTGAGCCCAGATCTGCTCCTTGGCGTGGGCTTTGGCCTCAGCCTTCACAAGGACAGGCAGCCAAACGCCACCTCAACACCTTCCTGGTGTCCTCCCTCCTGCAAGATCAAGTACTCACTTGGATTATTATCAAGTTATACAGCGTAAGGAAGAGGGGGCCATTCGCACAGCTAACATCTACAAATATTCTATGTATAACTTGGAGTTAAAAATCTCATACACTTTATATTTTAAGGTATAAAAGCACAAGTTTTACTGCAAAAATAAGATGCAGAAGTTAGTGGTTTGGACTAATTTTATTCCAAAAAATTTCAATAAAAGAGATACTGTTTTAAAACCTTAAAAAAGAAATTAAGGGCCGGCCAAATAGCTCGGTGGATTAAAGTGCCTGCAAGCAGGCACAGGGACT